GTTGACCTTATGCTTAAGACGTTTGTCGACACTCTTTACTAGAATGCGTTCAGCTGCTGGTATCCTGACAATTCAAACCGCTGGTAATACAGAGGCAATAGCTCCTTATTGACACTTTCTACTGGAAGTGGCAATAGCTTCTAGTTGACACTTTCAGAAAGTGGTATTAGCTCCTTAGTGGCACTTCCGAACGTGGCAATAGCATCTTATTGACACTTCTGTAAGTGGCAATAGCCATTCCGTTAATTACATTGGCCAAGCTAGGGGTGCCACCGACATTTTCTAACCAAAAACTAATTACATACAATTGCCCCGTTGTTATCGCAAATGTTTGAGTTAAATAGTCAGTTTTCCCATAACAGCCGCCAAAATAGTAATAATTTCCCGAATGAGCGTTATAACATTTCCATCGACTTTTGACCATCCTGGACCACAACCGTTATTTTCAGAATAGATCCATCCTGTTAAATCGCCCGTTTCAGAACAGCCATTACTAAGCAATTGTTGGTTCGTGTCGTTGGCTACAACGAAAACCTCATTCAAGAACCACTCTGTTGGATCTTGTCGAAAACCGAATGACAATGTATGAACTTGGGACGTTGCATAAAAGCCATAAGCATAACATCCGTAAACGTTCAATCCAGTCGACATATCTTGTAAAAATAATAATTGATCATATGTAATATTCACAAGTGTACACGGTAACGATGGTAACTGACACTGAGATGCTGCCGATGGCGTCGTTGTAGTAGTAGCTTTTTGAAAAAAACGCATGACTTAGTTGCCAATTATAAACATATTGTATCACCTGTATTTATACAACTAATTGTTTCATTTGAATAAATCATTCTTTTTGTTTTTTAAATTTAATTAAATAAACTTTTCATTATTTTATTCATCATATATAGACACATTTATTTTCTATAGTTCTTCTTATCCTTATCTTAAAAAAACATTGACATTAAACATAATTTAACTTGTTTTCGTTATGTTTATTATTATTTCTTTATTAAAAATCGTTAAAGATCATTATTAAAATTTATTTTATTTTGAAATAATATTTTTCAAAATCCATCATTAGCGCAAAATCGACTTTTTATACGGAGAACAGAATCGGTTCAAATTTTTTTTCTGAAGCGCTTATTATATGAATCGACGGTCAGCAAAGTATCTCTTGATTCAAATCACTTTTCGCATTTTGGCGCGAATAGTGGCGCCACTTAAAACGCGCTACTATTCACGCCAAAATGCG